GGTTCATGTTATCTTGTTTCCTCAGCTTGACCAGCAAGGCACATTGCTGGCGAGAGTAGGGGGTGGGGGACATGGAGATATGTGGCCAGAGGCCAGCAGGCCACTCACAGAGGCCTACCTCCTGGGCCAGGCAGAGCAATGGGGTATCTCAACAGGGGGACTGGGTACCACGCAGCCCTCAGAGCCCCCAGTCTCTCTAGCCTTGTCCTTCTGCCCTTGGTGGTTCCCCTTTCTCCTGGCCCCATGCAGCCCTCCACTTCTCTGGGATAAGGCAGAAAGTCACTGGCTTCCCTGTCCTCTCCTTCCACCTTGTGTGGCTGCAAGCTCCTCATCTTCCCTCACCTCCCTTTGCCTGTCCAGCCAATGGGCGTGGGCTGCTGGCTCTCTCCTGGTAAAAGGATTATATCATCTGTAATGTATATCCAGACACACGCACTGCATCTCGGGAGGACAAGACAAGGAGAGGGAGCCGTGCAGCTGGCCAGAGGGGCTTTATAACCAGGTTATTGAACCTGAACCTGAGCCTCCTGGAATGGGGGTGTTAATGGCTCTTGAGGTCCTGGCCCCCAGAAAGCAATCACTGCACAGCCTGGCTCTCTCTGTCCTGCCCTCCCCTCCTTTCTCTCCTCTTGCCTCCCTGCTGTCCCTGCTTGGTGCTTTCACCCTTGGGGCTCAGCTGCCTGGCTGGCCTGCCTTTGACCCCATCTGCAAGTGCAGCTTTGGGAGCTGCCACGGGGCCATTTTGTTTAAAATGTCTAGGTGTGGTCATTTTGCAAGTCACCAGGGGCAGATGGAGTACTTCTTAACAGGGCTAGAATATGCTCCTGAAGGCACAGCAACTGGTAGCAAGACACATCTAGAAGATTCTAGCTGAAGCACTGCAGACCAGGGAAGTATGCCAAGGGAGGAGTTGAACTGGGCACAATGGTGGAGCAATGGTGGCCAAGAGCAGTTGTCATATTAGCAGATGGATTCAGCTACAGATATTGCTCTCTGTAAGACCCAATGGTTACCCAGAAATAAAGCTTTGGGTGTGTGTGCACCCAAGTGCCAAATTCCCAGATGAGAGCAAGGTTCTACAGAGGAAGCAAGAGGACTGGACCCAAGGTTCAGATCACAGCACCACCTCGCACTGAGGAAACTTTATTGAACCAGGAGGAGGGTAAATTTGTCCCATAGGGAAATGGAATGGACAGAGCCCCAAAGGCAGACAGAAGCCTTCATGGCTAACCAACATGGGAAATGTGCCAGGCCCAAGACTTCGGTGGCCATTGCCTTTCTCCAAAGTCTCACTTACCAGAAATGTGGCCTAGAGTTGGGACCTAAAGAAGTGTGCCTTAACAGGTTCAGATGCCTCAGCCAAAGGGCCACTACATCAGAGAGTGTCAGAACTGGGCCAGACACCAGTGACACTGCCAGACTGAAGACCTCTTCACTCCAAGCAAGGCCCACCTTCATGACCCTTCAACTTTCCCAGGGCTGGCAGTTCCTGGGGCTACTTTCAGGGCCTTTGGTGAGTATCTGAGAGATTCAGGAGGGCACGGGGTCAGTAAGAAGTGAGATGGCCCCTTTCCAAAGGCCAACCCCAAGGAAGAGAAGGGAAGGGAGTGACCTACTGATATCCCGGAATTAACACTGAGTGCCTGGGGCTTCGGGGTGGAAAGGGGACCATGGAATGGATTGAGGGACAGTGTCACAGAAAGGATGAGAGCTGGAGCTGGGGTTGTGGCTCAGGGGCAGAGCTCTTGTCTAGCACACGTGAGGAGCTGGGCTTGCGCCTCAGCACCACATAAAAATACAGTTATTAAAAGTTGAGGGAAAATATTTTTTAAATAGAAAGGATGAGGACTGGAACTGACCAGCCACCTCACTCTCAGGTTTCTTTCAGGAGCATGCAGGATCCGAGCTGTAGACCTGGTTGCTTCAGAGCTGGGGACCCAGCTAGGCCCTTGATTCAGTGATAGGAACCTGCACTCACTCAAGTCTCCCTCGAGTCTCCCAGCCCCCAACAGGGTGAAGGCTTGGGCTTTGTAGCCAAGAAGTTGATGTAGATGAGAAGAGGGGCCCCATTTCCCAAGACTGAGGAGGCCAGTGTCTTTCAAGTTCCCAGGTGTCTTCGGACCAGCCCAGCCCTAGACTTTTTTCTCCTCCAGCAGTAGTGGCTCTTGTTGCTTGGAGAGCAGAGACACTGTGGAAGGACTGCGGTAGGAGCTTTGCAAGGGTAGGGGGTCAGGGCAGCACTATTCAATCCAAATGCCCCCCCTCCCAGCCTTTCTGCCCTGAGTCACTAATGTGCAAGATGGGGAGGGGGGAACCAAACTACCTAGAAACTCCTCTGAGTCAGCTCACCAAGCCTTCATCAGGGCCCAACTGAGTGTCCAGGTCATACACACAGCTGCCATATGTCCTCTGCATATGGGAGGAGCATGGGATGGGGGTTAGCCAGCCCCATCATTTTTGTCTTGGTATACACATATTTATCATATGTCCACAGGTAAAAGAGAAGGGTCTGACTGTGGTTGATTTCTTAGAAAAGGTCCCATAACCTTGGAACAACTGGCAGTACAGGCTGTCAAAAGAATACCGGGTCCAGTGGCAGGGAGCCTACACAGACAGGATCACACACTTGCCCATGTGATGTCATTTTGGCAGGTGCAAGCCCAAGTCCTGAGCACTTCAGCTGCCTGATGCTGAGGGAGAAGAGTGGAGCAGGCCGTATTCCAGAGAGCAGGCCCAAAGGCCTAGGGCTCCAGAGCGGAAAGAAGTTGTAGGGCTTCGGTCCTCTACCTGGGAGGGCGGAGCTGCTGCTGAAGCTGAAGAAGTGAAGAGGGGCAGTCAGGGCACACAGGCAGGGTGGACATGCCAAGCTGGTGATGGCCAGACTCTGCCTAGACTTGCATATAGTGGCCTGAAACGGGAGCAAAGTCAGGGGGGCCTTTTGAGATCATGGGATCCCATCTCTCCCCAAATATACAGACCAGGAAACTCAGGCCCAGAGGTGGGACAGGGACTTGAGCACCAAAGGCAAAGCTGTTGGCTTCCTCTCTTTTCCAGGGGTAATGACTCAGGGGAATCCAGCAGTGCTGCAGACAGGAGCCAGGCCTCCCTTGGCTGCCCCTCATCCATGGAGATGCTGGCATCCCAGCCCTTCCTGTCTCACCCGACTCTGCTATCTCTGGGCAGAGAAGCCATCCCTTGATAGCCCCGAGTCACAGACTGGTTCTCAGCATCTCCCCAGCGCAGGCCTGAGCCCCTGCTGACCCACAACTGGCCTGAAAGCAGAGGAAAGACTGGGCTTATGCCCCTGCCTTCTGCTCCCCCACAGCCAGAGCCAAAGGCTTGGAACCCTGTGGGTCTCCTGTACCCACACTGGGTTGAGGCTCTAGGCTTCTGAACTCAGCCTGAGCCCTGTGTGGCTCTGCCATTACATTACTAGACCACGGCATGGAACCACTGCCTCAGTTTCCCTAGTGTAGCATGGGAACAGTCTGCTCTGAACTCACAGAACTGACCTAAGGATAAAATGAGGTCCCAACGTTCTGGCTCCACCCCTTCCAGGCACTGAGGTTTACATGGTATTCCTATTAGCCAAAATCTGACATATGAGAATAAGAAAAGACACCGCAGGACTTGGGGTGGGGACACTTGCAGCGCAGTCGGCCAGAACTTACAGCCTCTCCACTGTGAAAGCCAGGGGTGGCCCTGGAGACCAACCTATGCCCGGTCTGTCACAGGCCCCTTCACCTCTCCTGCAGGAAGCAGGGATGCCAGTGTAGACTCTGTAGAGCAACCTCCCCTAACCCAGGCCCAGCGTAGGTCAGGGCCACCCCACCCCACTTTGGTGACTGAGATCAGGGGCCCCCCGTGCGGAACCGCTGTTGGGGGCTGGGGGCTAGGAGCTGAGGGCCGCGGGGCGCGTCGGGCAGGACGCGCGGAACCGGCAGAGGCTTGCAGGTGGGAGGAAGGCGGATGGGGGCTTGGGAGGCGGAGGGAGACGCTGGGCAGGCCGCGGCCCCTCCCCGATCCCTCCCTGCGCGCCGGCGGCGACATTGCCCCTCCTGGGCAGGGGGCGGAGAAGACCGCGACGGGAGGGGAGGAGGCGGTGGAGGCGGAGGCGGGATTTGGAGTTTCCCTCCGCAGCAGCGGCGGCGGCGGCCCCTAGGCTCCAGGCGAGGCCGCCGCCCGGGGCTCTGGTGGCGTTCGGCAGTGGCAGTGGCGCTTCCCGCCGCCCGAGCTTCGGAAACTTCCCAGCCGCGACGCACGGAGCGGGTGCAGGGATCCGAGCCTAGAGGAGGTGAGCGGAGCACGCGGCACCCCAGGCCCCCCACCCCACCCCCACCCGTCCTGGCTGCCCCCCGACGTGCGTTCCTCCACCCTGCACCCCCAAAGTCCTGTCAGTGCACAGTCCAGCCGGGGCGACGCATTCACCCTTGCAAGACCCATTCGGTTCTGCCACCACATACCCCGTACGCTGCCAGTGCACCTCCCATGTCCCCTGCCAGTTCAACCACCAGATGCACAATCACGCGTGCACAAACCACGCACCATGAACCCAAGTCCCTGTAGTGCACACACCAGTAGCCCCTGGCCCACCACTCACCCACTGTCCCCAACTCTCGCCAACACCCATCCCAGACCTTGCCACGCCCCAGTACACACCCAGGCGCGTAGACACTGCCAACACATCCCTGCTATATCTGCACGAACACAGCTCCCCCCACCATGCCCTCACCATCTTAAACTCCCCATATGCCCATTACAGACACCCCACCCACGTTCCCAGCCCAGAAACACTGCAATCCACCCACCCGAGAGCGAAGTCCCAACACAAACCCACACCCCAGTGGCTGACACTCCCCACTCCCCAGGCAGGCACTTCCAGCATCCCCAGCAAGCACTCTCATACACCCCAACATGCACGCACACCTGCTTGATTGCATGCTCTCCAGCATCATGCCCCGCCCCCATCGCAAATAGCCCTCAACACTCCCCCACCACATCGCTGAGTTCCTCCCACCACTCCTCCCCAACACCTGGCAGAGGGCTCTAGAGGCTGCAGCATTTGGTGGCATCTCTGCCAGGCACCTCTGGCTCTCCTTCAGCAGCGGCTCACCAGCCTAGGCACTCCTCACCCTGCCAGGTGCCTCCCTAAGCAGACCTTGAGACTCCCTAGTGACTGGCACGACCTCTTCCCTAAAAGATAAAGAAGGCACTTGGGGCCCAAGGTATGGTACTTAGATGTGGAGGCGAGGGGCTGCGGGGATGGGGGTGTAGAGAGAGGCGGGCACTGAAATGGAGGAGGCCCAGCTGGGCCCAAAGGAGTGCCAATTGCCCGGCCCGCACGTAGTGGGTTGGTTTCACGAGAGCTGGAGTCCTCGTGCACTGTTTGTGTCCCTGTCTGCGTGTGTGCTGGGGGGTGTGTGCACGTGTGCTTCTGCGTGTCAGGGAGGAGTGTGTGATCGGCAGAAGGAAAAAGCAGGAGCAGCACCCTCCTGGGCTCCCCCAGGCAACAATTGGTTTCATTCATTCATGCCTTCTTTGTTAACGAGCATTTCTTCGGTGAGCTCCGGGCGCGTGCCAGGCCCTGCACTGGGGGCTGGGGCCAGCTTGGGGCCGGGCACACACCCGTTCCTGCCTTGGAGGAACTCCCAGTCCCGCGAGGAACCCGACCAGGAAAAGCAGCCATCCCCAGCGGAAAGTGGATTTGGTGGAAAAGACACTGGATTTGGCAGGAATGCTGTCGCTGGGAGTTGTGCTCCTAGCCATGTGACCGGGCCGCGACAGCCGAAATCCTGCCACTCGGCCCGGCGGGAACGGTGCAATTGGCTGGAGTCGGTGGGGGCGGGGGAGGCGGGGCGCTGCTCCTGGAAGGCTACCCGGACCCGAGAGCGCACGCGGCACGCGCTGGGCCTGCGGGCGACGGCGTCCGGGCGACCTCCAGGGGGCGTTGGCCCGGCCAGGCGAAGGCCAGGGGTACCCAGCGGGGGCGGCGGTGGGCGCAGCGCCCATCCTGCGGTGAGCTGCGAGCGCGCCGCCTGGCTCCGCCCGCCAGAGGGGGCTAGGCGAGGCCCGGGCGCGCGGCTGTCTCCCGTATCACAGCCCGCCAGGGGAGCAGTCGCGGGGCGGGGCTAGCGCCTGGGAGCAGGCGCTGCAGGGGGCCTGAGTAGGGGCGGGCCCGGCGAGGGTGGGGGGGAAGGGGGCCGGGGCTTGGCTGCACTCAGCCCTGCAGTGCGGAGGTGGCAACAGGTTCCCATTTGTCCTGTTGCTGGCGTTGCGCGCGCTGCAGGCGCCGGGCACAGAGCACTGCACTGACTTTCATGATTGAGAGCCCCTCACCCCCTTCACTCCCTCCCGTTTCCCCGGTAGGAGGCCTCACCAGCAGGAATCTGGAACAAGGTGTAGGGCAACCACTCTTCAGGTGTTAGGAGATGCAGGATTGTTGGAGTCTAGACTTTCCTTTCCTTCGCCATTGCAGAGGTTGCTTTCCTCCTCGTCCTCATCTCCCTCCCCCTCCAGCTACAGTCACCTCCTCCAGGAAGCCCTCTCCAGACAGCAATGCCTGGGCACCTCAGAAGTACCAATTTCCTTCGGGTTGGCGATTCTCTCTCTGAGCACACTGAGCCCCCATGACAGGGTGGATGGGACACGTGCCTCTCCAGACCCCCATGCTGCTGCTCCCCCATCCACAATGTGACTAAACCCCAACCCTGCTTGCCAGGCCAGGACATTGCAGAACTTCCGTGGTGCCTTCAACTTCTGTCCATCCTAAGGTCCCACCCACAGCTGCAGTGGGGTCTGGAAGCAGCACATAGGCTGGGTACCCATGGCCAGGTGGCAACTAGTGCCTGCGTCTGTCAGTGGAGCTACAATGTGAGAGATGGAGAAGGTAGAAGGCAGAGTCCCTCTTCCAGGAGTGCACTGTGAAAAGGGGAAATGGGCCATGCCACAGCCTAAAGCCATGAGGCCAAGGAGCACCAAAAAAGGACCCTACAGGCTGGCCCAAGGAAGGGGGCTGGAGAAAATGCAGAATCTGGGCAGGCAGCCTATATGTAGGAGAGAGGCCTGGGCTGAGACCCCTGCCCATAGGACTAGAGGGGCATGGCCCAGTCACCCAGATCCCCTGCATGCAGGTGTTGGTACTGTAGAGGAAGGGACATGGTGGGTGTGGCCAAAGATGAGCCCACCACCTATGGCCTAGGAGTCTGAAGCTGACAGCCCAGGGCAGGAAGGGAGGGAGAAGGCAGGCCTAGGTCCCATAGAGGTGACCTAGCTTTCCGTAGCCTGCTGCTTCCCTTAGCATCACTTCACATGATGTCTCATCTTACCATGTGGTTCATGAGGGAGGCTTTTCAACAGGCATGGGAACGGCCTGCAGTAATTTTAAGTGTTGGGCTTCTTGGTGGCTTTGCGTTTTTTACTTCTTAGAAAAATGTTTTGTGGTACCCATCCTGTGTGAATAGGCCTGCTTGCTTTTATTTAGTTCCTTATGGTAGATTCCCAGAAGTGGCCAAAGGTATGGATTTTTTGTCTAGCTCTTGACGTACATTGCCAGATTAATTTCCAAAAGGACCAAAATCACCCAGCAAGAGAACAGCATGCAGTTTCTCTGCAGCCTTGCCAATGCTGGGTGTTCTCATTTTGAGAACATTCTACTAATGTAGCAAGTGGGTTGTTACCTTGTTTTTTGAATTGGCTTTCCTTCCATGACTGAGATTAAATCATCCTCCAAATATTTTTTACCCCATCACATTCCTTCCTTCATGCAGTTTGCAGTCTTTTTAAGTTCCTTATCGATTTATCTACCAGGGTCTTAACCTTTTGATTATTTTGTATGAGCTTTATCTTATCTGTTGTATGTTTTCCTTCAACACTGTTATTTGCTTTTGTTGGGCTTTAAGCAGAGAAAGGACACATAGCCAGATGGGGCATTTTAGAAACCTCTTCCAGCCCTCCTTTCATTGTCTCAGCACTTATCATCCCTGATATTTTGTTCAGTCTCTTAGCTTATCGTTGATCTGTCCTGCTGGTCTGGGAGGGAGCACCAGGCATGCAGGAACCTTGTGTGTCAAGCCTGTTCATCACCTGTGTCCATGGAAAGGATGGAGGCGGACAGCCTTTGTAGAATGAATGGCATTCTGGCACAGGACAAGGCAGGGTGAAGGACAAGTTGATGCAGGAGGCAGGGAGACCATTTTGAAAGCTATGACAGTGACTTGGCCAAGAGATGGTGAATATGAGCCCACAGCCAGTGGTGCAAACAGAGGGATGTGGGTGGATAGAGATTTTGGTAGAAAGTACTTCCCTCCAGATGGATCTGTCCAGGAGGTTAAGGAAAGGAGGCAGGTGGAGGAGTCAGGGGTGACTCCTAGGCTTAGTGTGATATGGGTGTAGTGTCTCAGTTTAAGGCTGGGTGCTCAGAGCTCCTGGGCACCTTTACTCAGGCCTGGGCGAATGAAGGCCTTATGGGGATAGGGTGCTGAGGAGCTTCCCTGTGCCTGCCTACCCCACCAAGGAGTCTTGGGCAGAGCTTTGGACCCAAGATAGCAGCAGGTTTTCTAGTCCTGCTTCTTCCTCTCCTCCATGAATTCAGGGACAACCCCACAGCGGCCCAAGGTGGTGGCTCTGATGAGCCCATTATACGGATGGGGCCACTGAGGTCCCGGTGGGAAATACGGTGGTCCAGGACCACTGAGTCAGTTGTTGGAAGCAGCTTCTGGAGCAGGAGCATGGGGCTTTTGTCCCCACCCCTCCCCCTGCCTCCAGGGGCCAGGCTGGCGCCGGCCAGGGGAGCTGTAACTGGTTCCCTGCTGGGCCCCTGACCTGCCCTTGGCCTCTGCCCTGACCCTGTCCCGCTTCGGTGGAAGCCCCAGCTCAGCCTGCCACTCGCGAGTCCCACCCGACTCCTTTCTCTTGCACCCGTTGGCTCGCCGACCCCTCTGGGCCCGCCCCGCCGCCCCGCCCCGGCCCGCCCCTCCGAGCTGCTACTCCACGTCCCGAGGCCGAGCCTTCCTAGGTGGAAGCTCAGTCTTGCTGCCAGGAAGCTGCCGGCGCCCGAGCTGCGCGCGAGGCTTGGTTTCCACGTGCGAGCCTGCTCCGCCACCCCGCCTCCTCCTGGCCGCCGGGCCTGGGGACTCCCTGCCCTGGGACGGCGCCCCGCGCCCTGCCATTGCAGTAACCCTGGCCGGGACATCCACGCGCGGCAGCCTGCCGCCAGATCCAGGTCTCTCTCCTTTTGTTCTCTCCTAGGGGGGAGGACTGGGGCCGGAACAGCTACTAGAGGGTTTGCCGAAGCCGGTCACCTCGTCGCCCCTTTTCCCTGGGCGCGTCTGGCCGTGGGGGAGATCGAGGCTTTGAACCCCATTCCTTCGCACGCACACACTCCCCAAAGTCGTAAGCTCGAACTTGGGGCGTGATAGCGGGCAGGCCCAACGAAGGAGCCAGAAAGGAGGTGTGAAGGAGGTGGCTAGGGCTGGGACGCCCCGGGAGGAGCCTGGAAGGGGCTGTTAGACACCCGCTTGTCTTCTGGGAGACCCTCGCGCCTCCCTAACCCGGGCAGGGAGCAGCGCCCCGGCGCCCGAGTGGCTGCCGCGGTGCTTTTCCAGGGGCGCCTTTTTCTGTGTTCTCGCTGCGGGTGGGGCGCGAGGAGAGGAACGGGAGGTGTACGAGTGTCCCTGCGAGATTCGGCGCCCGCCTTCAGGACTTGGGGCTAGCTTTACATCTCAGCCCCGGAGCGGTGGTCCGCGGGGACCCGAGCTCACACCGCGCGCCTTCCCTCTCTCCGCAGCGCCTGCCCGACGTGCAGAGAACCGCGCGCCCATGGAGAGCCTGGGCCGCTCGTGCCTGTGGCTTCGCCGGGAGCTGTCGCCCTCGCGGCCGCGGCTGCTGCTCCTGGACTGCCGCAGCCGCGAGCTGTACGAGTCCGCGCGCATCGGCGGGGCGCTGAGCGTGGCCCTGCCTGCGCTGCTGCTGCGCCGCCTGCGGAGGGGGAGCCTGTCGGTGCGCGCGCTCCTGCCAGGGCCGCCGCTGCAGCCGCCTCCCCCTGCCCCGGTGCTCCTGTATGACCAAGGCGGGGGAAGGCGACGGCGCGAGGGCGAGGCCGAGGCTGAGGAGTGGGAGGCTGAGTCGGTGCTGGGCACCCTGCTCCAGAAGCTGCGGGAGGAAGGCTACCTGGCATACTACCTGCAAGGTAGGTATAGAGTGGACTTGGTGGGCACCTGCCAGGGGAGGACCCCTGCCTAGGGAAGCAAGACCTTGCCTTCCAAGGGGATTCATAATTAATTTGACCTTGGGTAAGCCCCGTCTATTTTGTCTAAAGTGGAGGTGAGACTCCCTCTCCCAACAGCTACTAGGCTGCTTTCAGGGGAGGGGAGCCTGATCATGACCTTGGGCAGGTCCTTCACCCTTGAGAAGCCCCAGTTCTTAGTCTAGAAAATGGGGAGAACTGGGCAGAGCTGACCTAGTTAACAGGATGCTCAAGAACAAAGTCCTACGTTTGGGATCCCTGTGTCTGGCCAACAGCTTCCCCACTTTCCTGGTGCTCCCTGCTCCTCTGTACCTCAAAGGAGGCAGAGGCCAGACAGCAGGAGGGAAAATCCCAGGCCCTGAGATGGTGGGGGAAAATCCTGGAGAAGGTGTGCAGGCAGGAGAAGGCATGAGGACAAGAGACCAGCCTCCCCTGTAGTCAGGGCAGGGCCCTGGATGGGCGAAGTGGAGGCAAGTTGATACAGGTCTGTTGGCCCTGTGCAAGCCAGATGCCCCCTCCCCAGAGGCCCAGTGCAGGGGCAAGGTTCCTGTGAAACTATAGAGGCAGCTGTCCCCACCTCCTGATCAGTTGGTCACCAAGAAAGGTCAGTTGGGCTGTAAAGAGAATATATAAATATAGAAAGTGTCAGGTTTCCAGGTCCCCACCCCCAGCTCAGGGAAATGATCGAATCTGTAGACGAAAGAGTTGCTGGCTTCTCAGGACTTTGGAATCATTCAGATGGAATGTCATACTCTCTCCCAAGCTCCCCATTTCTTGGGGTCCCACTTCATCCCTTAGCGTTCTCCTGGCCACACCCGATCAGGAGATGCCCAGGTAGAGAACTGACACCCAGACCTTTCTTCTTCTTTAACTGATGACTGCTGTCCTCAGTTGAGCCCTCACATCTGCCTTGGCTCTCAGCCCTGGAGCTCTAAGATCCTCTTGGGTGGCTCTGTCAGGACCCAGCTTCTTGCATCTCCAGTTGCCACAGTGGGCACTTGTCATCCAGTGCTGCATGAGGATTGCTAGGGCACCCACAGCGTACCACACATGCCCCCCCCAGTGTAAATGAAACGCCCCTTGGCTCTTTTGTTCCATTTGGGGAGATCTGCAAATCCCCTAGGTTGTATAGGGCCAGCTCCCTAACCCCTGCCAGGGGCACTTGGCTGCTCAGGAAGCCAGGTCAGCAGGACCCTTTGCTTCTCCCTCCACAGGTGGCTTCGCCAGATTTCAGGCCGAGTGCCCTCACCTCTGTGAGACCAGCCTCAATGGTGGTGCTGGCTCAAGCATGGCCCCAGTGCCCAGCCCAGTGCCCGTGGTGGGACTGGGTGGCCTGTGCCTGAGCTCCGACTGCTCTGACGCAGAATCTGAGGCTGACCGCGACTCCATGAGCTGTGGCCTGGATTCGGAAGGCACCACGCCTCCCCCAGTGGGGCTGCTGCCATCCTTCCCGGTCCAGATCTTGCCCAACCTCTACCTGGGCAGTGCCCGGGATTCAGCCAACTTAGAGAGCCTGGCCAAGTTGGGCATCCGCTACATCCTCAATGTCACCCCCAACCTCCCTAACCTCTTTGAGAAGAATGGTGACTTTCACTACAAGCAGATCCCCATCTCTGACCACTGGAGCCAGAACTTGTCCCAGTTCTTTCCAGAGGCCATTGCATTCATTGGTGAGTCTGCCTTGCCCTCTCCTTCCTTCCTCTCCACTGCACCTCACCTCTAGCCTCTCCCATGTCTTCTCCCTCTCCTTAAGAGAATTCTTCCCAGGCTTACCTGCCATTGCCAGAGCAGGGATCACCCTTCTAGGGTGGGGGTGGACAGGGCTCAAGCCAGCTCCAGAGCCTGCTAGCAAAACCTCCAGGACTCTGAGGGCGGGGGGTGGGCTGCAAGGGCCCTTCTGGAAGACCACCTGGCTATGGTCTCACACTGGTCCTTGGGTCACCGTGGCTCTGCACTCCCCCACCTAGACGAGGCCTTGTCCCAGAACTGCGGGGTGCTCGTCCACTGCCTGGCAGGCGTCAGCCGCTCTGTCACCGTCACCGTGGCCTACCTCATGCAGAAGCTCCACCTCTCGCTCAACGATGCCTACGACCTGGTCAAGAGGAAGAAGTCTAACATCTCGCCCAACTTCAACTTCATGGGGCAGCTGTTGGACTTTGAGCGCAGTCTGCGCTTGGAGGAGAGGCGCTCCCAGGGGCAGGGCAGTGGGGGCCAGGAGTCTGCCACCTCTGACCCCCCCTCCTTTTTTACCACCCCCACCAGCGATGGGGTCTTTGAGCTGGACCCCACATAAGACCATGTGGGACTGGCAGGGCTGGTCCCCACCCATGACCCCACACCCAGTGGGTGCTCTAACCACCCATATAGTAGGGGAGAAGGGGGGAGGGGACTCAGCCATAAGCAGGGGGGTGGAGGTGCTGGGGGAGGGAAAGCTCAATACCTCACTGGGGGCGGTGGAGCAAGGCAGGGGCCAGAGCAAAGATCTGCCCTACCCACTCACAGCCTATTAAACGTGCCTAAGGGCCGGCCCCAGGGCCATCGGCCTTACCCGTGCGCTTTCGGGTGGGACCACGCTCCAGAATCTGCCTCTTCTGCGACTGTTACTTTACTCTTTTGGGGGTGGGGTGGGGTTCCCTATCTGAAGAACCATTGCAGGTGGCTGCCTGTTCCCTGGGGCCCTGGGTGCTCGCCAGCTCAGCTAGGCCCGGGGCCTCCCTGCTATTTCCCCCTTCAGGAAAGTTGTGTGCCACTTCCTTTGCCACAGGAACCTGCTCCCGGGCCCTTCCCTGTCCCAAATGGCCACTTGTGAGGAGGGACTCACCACCACCAACAGGGCAGTCATCTCCTTGCTTGTCTGTCAAGGGCTTGGGTCTCTTAGGGCTGAGAGCCTCCCAGGAGATGTGGACCCAGAGATGCAACAACTGCCCGGCCTCCACGGGGACAGTCTCTCTGGAGACCTCCACAGGGACAGTCTCTCTGGGTGGCTTCTTACTGCGCCTGGGAGCCACTGGGCGGGTTCCCGGCCACACATCTGGCACCCTGACTGTTTCCTTCCTCCTCCCCCAGATGTCTTGACAGGATCACTGGGGCTCTTTGTGACTGAGGGTGGTCAAACTGCCACCGGAGGAGATGGGGTCTCAGAGCAAGAGCTGGGAGGGGAGGGAGGGAAGGATGAAGGCCTTGATTTTGCTGCTGCGGGTCCCACAGCCGTGTTGGGGGGGAGGGGCCAAGCTGCAGACACACACGGTCATTCATTGCAGGCCACACCCCTTGTAGGAAGTGTACGTGTGCGCGCACGTGCACATCCAAGTTCACACATGCACACTAGCCTCCACTTACACGCTCGCCTGGGGCTGGCAGTCCCATCGCCCCCTCAAATCTGGAAGAGGGGCTATGCTTGTTTGTTTTTGTAATCCACATCATGATTGCTTTCTTTAATTGTTCCTCCTGAATAAACAGTTTATTTAAGATACTGAATAGAGAGGAAAGCTTCTTCATGAGCTCCTTAGAGGGTCTGGGGGAAGGTGGGGAAGGACCTTTTTGCCTGCTCATAGGAGGGCATGCTGTGCTGGCCAGGGACTCAAGTGCCACTTCACATCCTCCATGTCATTTCCCAATCTCTGAGCCCCCATCCCCTCACCACACATCTGAGCTCCCACCCTGCCACACCTGCTAAAGACCAGGACCCATCAGCAAGCCAAACAGAAGAGGTTGGCTCTTAGAGCTGCCTGGAGGGGAAGACTGGACTCAGTGTGAGTCACACAGTATGTATCCATTGCCTCAGACAGCAGGGAAGAGAGGACCCAGATTCAGCCATGAAGTTTGGCAACCAATCCCCAAAACATAATGTGAATCAGACCCAAGCCCTGCCTCAAGGCAAGCTCCCAGCAGCCCCGGTTAGACACCATCATGAGGTTGACGGGAGCTGTAGGGTGGCCCAAGCAGTGGGAGGACGGGCACTGTCACTGACATAATGTGGAATTTGGACTTTGAAGGCCTAGAGAGGGGCCTGTGGGGGTCTTTGGGCCATCTGAAGTGACAGATGGGGCCTGCCTCTCCATTCAGAACACTGCCAATGCCTTCTCCACAGCAGGCTGGAGATGCTGGTAATACTGCAATTCTGCACCACAGAGATGGCAGAGCGGAAGGGCAGCTGGAGGGTGGGTGGGGAACAAGTGTAGCTTGAGAAAACAGCTTTGAGTCACTACAACAAATACCTGGGCTAATCAACTCAGGAGAGAGAGGGGTTATTTTGGCTCCCAGTTTCTGAGACTCCAGTCTGGGATCATTTGGTGCTGTTGCTTTATACTCATGGTGAGGCCACACATCACAGTGAGAATGTGTCAGAGCAAAACTGCTCACTCCATGGCCAGGAAGGAAAAGAGCATGTCCCCAATGGACCTAGGGACTGCGTATCGAGCGCCACCTCCCAGAGTTCCCACGACTTCCAAATAGCACCACTCTGGGCCAAGCCGTTTGGAGACATTCAGGGTCCCAACCACAGCCAAACACTTGTGAGTAACATGGAACAGAAATGTGGGCAGCCCTTCTGCTCCACAGGCCCTGGAATTGGGATGAAATCTAAAACCATGTGACTGTATGGCTGAGCTGGTGAGAAAATAAGAGAAAGGCTCTCAGGTAAGGAACAGCGAGGATCCTGGAGTCCAGTAAAGGGGCTGCTCCAGGGGACAACAGGGCATCTCCTAGCCCAGGAGCCAGAAGCCTTCACAAGGAACACAGCCTTGCTGATCTCCAGAACTGTTAGAGGATACAATTTTGTTGTTTTAAGCTACTACCTTGTGATAACTTGTGACAGCAGCAATAGAAAACAAACACAATAGTTGACCTTGAAAAAATACCCCCACAAAAAGAGGTGAGGATGTGTGTTTATCTTGACCTTGGATTGGGGTGAAAGGAGAATAAAAGAAAAATGACACTCCTGAGAATTCATTGCCACAAGTGGAAATTCTCAGTTAGAGGGGCCTGTTCAGAGTAATGGATGTTCCAGAATGTCTCTTGGAGAGACACAGTGATAGAGTCAGTGGGAAGCTGCAGGATTGGTCTTCAAACTGCATTTAACTCTCTTACACCCAGATTTCACTTAGATTGTGATAGCTTAATAAAAATAGGAAAGCTTAAAACATTAATAAAATACACTGTTTAGTAATCCCAGCAGCTCACGAGGCTGAAGCAGGAGGATGGCAAGTTAAAAGGTAGCCTCAGCAACTCACTGAGACCTTGTCTCAAAATAAAATATAAAAAGGGCTGGGGATATGGCTCAGTGGTTAAGTGCCCCTGGGTTCAATCCCTGGTACCCGAAATAAAATAAAATAGATTGGAAGTTCTAGATGAAATGGTCCAGAGGTAGAATGGCTGCAGACTGCCTCTTTAAAAGGATGACCTTTAACCACAGGCCACAAAGAATTCCTATAGGAATTTTATTTTTTTTTTAGAAAGAGAGAGAGAATTTTTTAATATTTATTTTTTAGTTTTTGGCGGACACGACATCTTTGTTTGTATGTGGTGCTGAGGATCGAACCCGGGCCGCACACATGCCAGGCGAGCGCACTACCGCTTGAGCCACATCCCCAGCCCCAGGAATTTTAAATATATATAATGAAAAAAATGTGTAAAGAATCAAGCTACCATGAGTGACAGAAACATACAAATATAAAAACTTAACAATCAATTCTAAGATAACAGATTTAAAACTTGTATGTCGCAGTATATGATTAATATGTTTAAAGAAATAAAAATCCAGAGGTGGTGGTGGATCAGCCACTTGGGAGGCTGAGACAAGAGGATTCCAAATTTGAGGCCAGACTGGTGAACTTAGTGAGACCCTATCTGAAAATAAAATGAAAAGGGCTGGGGATGCATCCCAGTGGTAGAGTGCCCCTGGGTTTAATCCCCAGTATGAGAGAGAGAGAGAGAGAGAGAGAGAGAGAGAGAGAGAGAAGGAATGACAGAAAAAAAAGGTGAAAAAGAAGTCAAAGGAAGTATTTAAGGTATGACAAAGGAAAAATAACTATAAAATGACCAGGTACTCCTAAAAAAGACCAAATAGAATTTCTAGAAATTGAAGATACAACTATTGATCAGTAAAGGAGAGAATAGAGAGAATAATTTTTTTTTTCTTTTAAAAGATGGAATTTTCCAAAAGTGGTAAAGGATCGGTTTTGGAAAAGATGCTAGAAGAGATGCTTAGTGTCCCCCAATCTCCGTCTTCCCCTTCTCCCTTTTGGAAATTTTATTTCTAAATAAAATCACTGCTAATGGTGACTCTGTTCTTGCACATCGTCTGCTTTTTCCACTAGTACTCTTAGCATTTTAATCACAGTCACTTTAAATTCCCGGCCTGACAATTCAACATTCCTGTCATATCTAACTCTGGTTCTGGCGCTTTGTCTCTTCAAACTGTTTTTTGCCATTGAAATTTGTTGTTGTTTTTGAGAGCTGGATCTGGGTGAAAGGAACTGCTGTAAATGGGTCATTAGAGATGTGGTGGTGACGGGATGGTGAGGGGACGCACTGTCCAACTCAATGACTAAGTCTCCATCTTGGGTAAGCCTGTGTCCCTGACCCATGACCTTCACCAATGCTTCTCAGACTCTGCCCCTGGTACATAGGGTAGGGTGGCTACAGCAGGCTGGAGCTGAGCTTGCCCATTCCCCCAGCTCCGTCAGCCTTCAGTAAAAGCCTAGGACAGGCTCCTGTTAACTAGTTTCTGTTGAGGACAGGCCTTGTTAAGAAGAGAATGCTCAGGACATATTTCAAAATGGTTTATTTCTTCCCTTCTCCTGCCAGAAGCATGAGATCCTTCCCTGTGAGAATCTGATGGCACTTCTGGAGAGAAGACTCCCTAAAGCATGGGATGCCCTGAGACTACCCTCCCACAGCAGAACTCTGACTTGTCCTTACTGAGTCTCCAGCAACCCAGCAATTACAGTGCAGGTTTCTGTGCCCTGGCATTGGTTTGTGCTTGTGGGTTTCTGCTCTGGGTAGCTGGCATCTCTGTGTGCACCTGTGTCACTCCACCTGAGAGGCAGCAGTGTGCTCTGTGACCTCAATTGTCTGATGAAACTAAGAGGGGTAGTTCATTTTCACTTTGTTCAGCTTCTCATTTGTTTAGGACGGTGTGAGGACTTCTCAGCTTCTTCCACACCAGACTGGAAACCCAAACTTTTATAGGTTGACTTTTCTTCCCATTATGGGTTACATTTGTTGCTGCTTCTACCTGGGCCAGAAAACCTGGCTGGGAGAGCTCACCTAGTTTGGTTTCAGTCCCTTGCAGACCACAGGCCTTCACTGACTGCTATTCATTAGCTGAAAACTATGGTTGTTGTTGTTGTTTTTATTTTGATACTAGGAATTGAACTTTAACAAAGCTTAAAGTTATTCAATATCAATATGACCATGAGGGAGTAACAGGGTCCAGATTACATCCCGTACCATAAACAACTAGAAAACTGGCAAAACATGAATCAATAGTTTTCAGCCCAGTGTGATGCTACATGACTGTAATCTCAATGGCTCAGGAGGCTGATGTCACCCCCCCGGTTATTTTGCTGCAGCCGGACTGCGGCAACCCAGGAGGATCATGAGTTCAAAGCCAGCCTCAGCAACTTAGTGAGGTCCTAAGCAACTCAGTGAGACCCTGTCTCTAAAAAAATATTAAAAAGGGCTGAGAGGGCTGGGGCTGTAGCTCAGTGGTGGAACACTTGCCTCACATGTACGAGTCTCTAGGTTCAATCCTCAGCACCACATAAAAAATAAATAGGGGCTGGGGATGTAGCTCAAGCAGTAGCGCGCTCGCCTGACATGCGTGCGGCCCGGATTCAATCCTCAGCACCACATACAAAAAAAAACAAAAAAAAAACCAAAGATGTTGTGTCTGCCAAAAACTAAGAAATAAATATTAAAAAATAAATAAATAGATAAATAAATAAATAAATAAAGGTATTGTGTCCATCTACATCTAAAAATATATTTAAATAGATAGATAAATAGATAGATAGATAAAAAGGGCTTGGGATGTGACTCAATGGTTGAGTACCCCGAGTTCAATCCCTGGTACACCTTCTGCAAAAAAAAAAAAAAAAAAGAGTCATCCACAGAATGTGTCAAATGACGGTTTAAAGGGAGGATTCCAGCTGTGGGCAAATGAGTGTATTAGCAAATAATCTCCCCCAAAAGCAACTATAAAGTTGTAGGGAATTTACAAAAACAACCTTTTGGATCTGGGATTCAATGAAAGAGTGCATCTGGGAGCAAGTAGGCGATTACATATCATACCAAGAACAGAGAGAAAGAGAAGGGCCAGGCTTTCCCCCTTATAACAACCCTCTCAAAAGTTCTTGGGTCACTGAAGAACTCCCTTCCAAGAGCATACCCCAGTGACCAATGGACCCCTCAGTAGGCCCTACCTTCTCCTGAGGCCAGAAGGCAGTGGGATAATGTATTCCAAACCAAAAGGA